TTATTGTGGGACTTCAGGGCGTAGCCGGCCTGAACATACTAGACCTTTGATGACGGAGCTGGCATGCAGTGTTCCACCGGAATGAAGGAATACGGTAGGTTCTCAGGCACAATGATAGCGCCTCAACTCCTGACTTCATCTCTGGACTTCTATCAGTGAAGTTTCAAAAGTGAGGTTCAACCATGAACATACGAGAAAAAGAGCCTGTATGTGTGAGAGCTGTTCTACTCTAGAGAATAGACTAAGAATACTCTGACTATTCTATTCTGGAGTACATCTGTATGTTCCCTATTTACTCCATAGCGAACATATGATAACCTAATGGCTGTTGGCGAGAAGAATCAATGCCCTTCCACGAAGTCCCTAATGATGAATGTAAGGATATGTTTAGGTCGACATATTACCTTGAACCCAAAACGGCGATCCAAGATTTGTTTCATCGCTCCGATGAACTCCTTAGATGCTGTTAAAAACCAGCCAGCGGCTGGGCGTATTTGATATCTGCCGCGGAACGCACAAATTCAGTCTTTCTCGAGACCCCAGGTTGCTGACACGCACGCGGAAGGTTTAGGGTATGTTGTCAGTCATATGCAGGATATGGGGGAACTATTCCAGAGCACATTCTGACAATGCTATCGATCTGGTTATGGGAGGGGTTGAGTCCAACGATTAATAGTGTGTTAAATCTCTCGTAAACCGAGCGTTTTTTCACGCGTATCATCGTTTGTCAATCATTAGTTCCATGCATCATTGTGTACTCCTTTATTGTATCATAACTCATAATGTCATTGCCACGTAAACCAATAAAGGCGGCAACTAGCGGGTATACAGAACCCATCGATATTTGGCGACGGTAGTATCCTTTTAAATGGCAATGACATTTTCTCTCGCTTTATGCCTAGAGTTGTCTGACTCCCGCCACCAAAAAGGGAGCCTTAGGCGATCCCGAATTCCTGAATTTCCCTGTGGCTCGTCAGGCTTGTATAGTCGTGATGATTCTTTTGGCGTCGTAGGTACGCAACAGAACTCGAGGAGAAGGCCCTCGTTGACCCATACTGGGATATCTTCCGATTCACTGATTCCTTACCGGACCCCACAGAACTTGTCAGGATAGTTGGACTCTTCCTGGCCCACCGTATACTGCAAGACACTGAGTATCAGAACAGGTGAGGACTGGCGTAGCTCACCGCAAAGATTTCCCCATTTCAGGCTGACTGTCTTCGACTCGGTGAGTAAGTTCCTTGGGATGGTCCAAGAGGGGTATAGGCAGAGCTATGGTTACCATACCAAAATTCACTCAGCTGATACGGCCATTACCCTCTACCAGATGATAGGGGTGTATGAAAGACCACGTGGGATTGATGCATTGGACGAGCTGGCTGCAATACTTGCAGCTTTCGCTCACGACGTAGGTCACCCTGGGTGGTCCAATTCCCTTTCCAAGGCGTTGGTTATGGGCGATCCCGATGACCCACACCCACTCGAGAGCATGCACGTACGTGAAACGGCGAGGATGCTCACTGTAGCTGGGCTCGATGATCTTCTGGGTCCCCATAGGCTCTCTATGATGAGGGAGATGATCCTTTGTACGTGTATGGAATATCATAGCACGATGGTCGAAAAGGCTCAGAACTACGCCATTGAAGACCTCACTACTCGACTCAGCGTTCTACTACATGCGGCAGACATCTCCAATCCTACCAAGGAAGCGAGGTTGTG